TTCTAAGTGAACGTAAAAATTACCGATATTTAAATAAAAAATATATCAATAACCCAAAAATAGGATGGTTAGCTGAGTGGTTAGTCCTTTCCTTCAAATCTTAAGGTTGTTATTTCGATCATCGGAGTCTATTTTGGATCTATAGATACCTTTTAAATTTGGGCTGCTATCCTGCCATTAACAAAGGATCGACGTTAAATATTTTAAAAAGATTAGTTGGGCCTTAGGCGTTCCATTATAAAAGCCATTGAAACACACACAATACAAATAAAATAAATCGTTTATATCCCACTCTTGTCCTTAAAATATTATCAAGCTATGTCATAGATGAATTCAAAAAGCTTTTGGAAGTAAATATTTATTGGTCTGACAACACACAATGCTCACAATTTTATCTATTATATTATTACAGTTATACAATAAATTTTTTTTCTAAACTGTTAAGGCCATTTACCAAATAAAATTTTGGCATATGGCACATCAAAATGAAGCTCGGAGTGTGTAGATTTGCCGAAAATCATTGGTATGGACAAATTTCTTAGGGGCTCTGTCCCACAGGCCGATTTCCAAAGGGCCACGTCTGACATGCTTCCAAAGTTTTTGTCAGATATCGTCATTATTTAATAGCCCAAAAAACGGCATCTGGGTATAGTAACGATCTAACTTGGAGTCGAACCAGTGACCTCCATATTTGAAGGCGAGCATTATAACCATTCAGCCAAACTGATTCGGTCGACTCAGAAAGTTACACTATTTAAATAGTTTCTATATGTATAATAAAGAAACGTAAATAAGTATAAAGTCAAGTTTCGAGCTGTAAATATTTTTTTAAAGAAAAATAGTTGTTCACAAACATTATTCCATTAAAACCTGTAAGATATTTCAAATTAATTCCCTTCTTGCTATTAACATAGGCGTAGGGTTACAAGATCGTTCAGAATAATATCAATGTCATCAATATTGCCCTGACTGTAATAACGCTTAGCTAATGTACTGTAAAAGATTATCAGCGTACTTTTTCCATAAAAGTTAATAAAAGTGTTTGTTGTATATTACAATAAGTACAATCCGTTTAACGTCGTGTCATACGGTTTTATCGTTACATTTTTTTATTAGGCATCAATGTATCGTGAAAAGTCATAATCTTTGTTTATTTTTATCTAAAACTCTAGGCTCTGACGGTATCCTTCTTTACATTACTTCAGGTTTACAGCATTATCACTTGGATAAGTCCATCGTCGATTTGTGTACCACTAGACCAGCTCACTCCCCTAAAGTCATATGTAGTACCACAGACAATATACCATTATTTGTGGTCTATTCAGAATTCATTGTCCTACTTCTGGATATTGCTTTATATTAATTAAATTATTATTGTTACCTTACAATATCCGTTTAGTGTTGGTAGATAGACAACTATATGTTTCGTGGCGACTGCCACATCCTCAGGTTATCCTCTTCTCAGATTCGTCATTAATTTAAAACATAAAACACTGAACACACGTAGAAAAACACATTACATTTATTTCTGTACAGTCACGGTGCGTGCACGCGTTTGGTCGGGCCGGCGGCGACTGGCGACCAAACGCGTGCACGCACCGTGACTGTACAGAAATAAATGTAATGTGTTTTTCTACGTGTGTTCAGTGTTTTATGTTTTAAATTAATGACGAATCTGAGAAGAGGATAACCTGAGGATGTGGCAGTCGCCACGAAACATGTAGTTGTCTATCTACCAACACTAAACGGATATTGTGTGGTCTATTGTCTGTGGTAGGGTGGTAGTGCTTAACTATGATTATACTGTTACTATTGCATATATTCAAACTAGGGATGGTATCCACATCAAAGTAAGAAGCTACTACCGACACAGGGTACACTTTTAAATTAGAGGAAAAGTAGAATCTGAAATCGATTTTTTATGATAGTAGGTGTTTCGTGGAATAAATACACGGGAAATTGTAATTGAATTGATTACTTGTTATTATTACCAATTAACAATTTGTAACATTTTTACCTCTGCTTTCAAATCAATATCCACCCCTCTCTCGCTCCAGCTGTAAATCCACTTCCCACCCCACAATGCAACAGGTATTTCCACCACTAACCTTTATACCACAATGTGGTCAGTTCTTTTGTTGACTTAGTTTAAGCTCTGCAATCATATTACTTTGTAGGTTGTCTTTGTTATTGAACCTTTTATATCTGATGATATTTTTAAAACTAATTTATCTAACTAAGGGAGAACGTACAGCCTAATCTTGAGATCTCTTTAGATTGGTTTTTAACGTAAATTTCCGTAGTTTAATTAAACATTACTAAACTATTAGGGATACATAGGATAGATGTTTTATAACAAACTTCACGTCCCACCATTAAATTAAAGCAACTACAATTTTTGTTTGGATTTCTTTCCATTAGAAATTGATCGTGAAATTACTAAAATATGGTTCCAATCCATATCAAAAGGAATTATTGTATCTTCATAAAAGCCAAAATATACACCAATGTATTCTTAACACAAAACATTTTTATTATTGTTTGTTTTTTACATTTTGACAGAGAAATATAAACCCATCAGAACTGAGAAATTTTAAATGATCATAGTGTTTTCATTACATTAAAACACGTTGTTTACAATTCAGTAAATAATAGTATAGCAACTAAAAATAACTTTATCAAAATCCGTTATCATCCCTAACTCTTTAAATACAGGTCACGTCTTGTTCGCTCTGCTTTGAATAGTCATAAATATTACATATATTTTGTCAATAGAACAAAAAAATCATAAAAAATGCATCTAAAAAAGTTTTAGCAGGATGACACTTTTTCTCTCAAATCCCCTTGGCAATAACAATTTTTTGAAATCTTTCTAAATCATTAGTATTAGTGGAACATTAAGGCAGCAACATGTCCATGACGAGCTTTAACGCTTCAACACACGTTTTCAGTGGTTTTATTACACCTAGTAACTCTGTTGGTGCTGAAAGCTATAAATCTAGATATTAATCTCACTTTGCTATTCCCCGAGCTCTAGGCTGACCTTCGACCTATACAAGACGCAGTAGATAGAGAGTAAATCTTCTTTATTTTAAATTTAGTAACTCTAATATTTTGTTTACTCTGAAACTTCTCCGTTGAAGGACGGAATGCTGCAAATATAGGTGTAATAACCAGAATAATAGTCAGAAAATCACCATCGTCCAGAAAAGTTTCTTACGTCACAAGCTGAATTCGGAGGGACAAAATTAGTTTAGCTTCCATTTTTACGAGTGAAAACTCATCTGAAAGTTCAAATAAGGTACTTAAAAAGTATTCAGTGCCAGCCGGTGACTGATATTGTGAAATTCCACTACGCTGCTTCCCCAGGCATGGCAACATTCAGTATGTGTTTGCTTTTCGTATATCAAATACAAGCTCATGTATATTATGTATATTTTTATGGAGCCGTTACATATTTACGTAACTGACATTACTTTTCCCATGAATCTAGGCTCTAACCCAAAATTGTTTTAAAATTACTTCAGGCTAGATGTTGGTTGCAGCATTCTCACTTAGATAAAATCCATTGGTGATTGGCTGGATTTGAACCCGAGACCTCAGGGACCGAAGTCCTTTGATCTACCTCTAGACCAGATCACAACCCCCCCCCCCCCTACGTAACTGACACAAAGTTTGCTTAAACATGTGTGAAAATTCGATAACGCTCAAGTATTATACTTTTACAAAAATGTATTACAAAGATCAGTAGGTAGCGAAGCCAACATAAATTTTCGTTTCTCTAACAACCCACCATTATAAAATAACTCTGAAAAATCCAAAAGAGAGAAAGTTTACAATACTTTTGATCAAACCAGATGTATTTCGGTCGCTTGGAAATCATAGTTGGCATTCTTTCTTATAAAAGAACTTGAGGTACGCCTGTGATCTTTCCTAAGTAGAATTTATCTCCTTACTCCTTAATTCAAAGATTAACTCGGACATTTTTCATCGCAGAAATTGTGCTATAGTTTATCAAAACATATCCATAAAGAAAGATACAACAGTTTTTTTTTCTCCATAAAAAGCATGGGAATTTTAAATGTACGGTTTTTTTTGCCGTATCCTTTAATTGAAAAATAATGCTTCAATATACTTAATCGTATGGGTTTAAGGTCTACACGATGGCTGCAATGAAATATGGACATTTCAATGTAGAAATGTGGGGAAAATGATTTTTTTTTTTAACTTTAAATCCCCATGACACTTTGTCTCCAGGGTAAAAAATTGTAAAAGTTCTTGTTTGACGGAAGTGTTTACAAATTCTAAAAAAACTGGAAAAGATCGTTTGGTCGTTTTACATAATTTATTATTATTATTTTTTTTAAGGTGATGGATTTGTTAACAAAGATAGACAAATAAGAATGTTTATGCAATGCAGTCACAAGTCGGGTTGGCACCGTATTTTAAAACAACATTCCTGCTGTACTTACAAAATGCAGACTTCTATCCTAGGTCCTTAGGATTTTCCGTTAAGTTGCCTTCTAGAGGGCATTTACCGTATATTAATATTTTACTATTTTGGATAATATTTGACGTATATTCATTGATATGCTCCCATAATAACTAGCTACCTTATGTAAGAATGTGAGATATATTTTATTATAGTTTTATAGCAATGAAAACAAACATTTAGAATAACTTGGGAATTTTCAGGGAATTTTGGGTAATTTTACCTCGCCACCAGGGTAAAAATGCAACGTCAAGGTGGTAGCACTGCATATAGCGATAGCGCTGACTCATGCAACTGTCCTGTACATGCGCTGCTGATTGCATCATCATTACACACGAATGATTCGGCTATCATCGGGTCCACTCGGCTTCTCTCGGAATCCTGTGATTCCTCATTCCCCTTGCTCCTTGCTGCTTGCTCCTTCATTCGTTTATCGTTCGTCCATTGTTGCAGTGTTGCAGTTGTTTACTGAAACGCCTCGTTATTGTATTGAATTAGGCCTAAGAGATGCCGTTGTACGCTACTAATGTTTACTTAAGTCAAAGCAAAACTAAGTACATCATTACTGAGACTGACGTGAGTAATTCATTGAACTGTGATAAATGCCGAAAATATTTCAGAGTAAAAGAAGTTGTGAGAAAATTAGAATGTGGGCACATTTTTTGTTTCAAATGTATTACTTCGTGGCTTCACAGTACAGAAGAAGGGATTGACACGTGTCCGTTATGTCAGGAAACTATTGCAATCCGACTTCAAAATTTTGTGAAGGTAAGTGAAATGCTTCATCTTAGTAATACTTGTCTCCAAATAAAGTTACATGGTGTCACATGATCCGGTGATCAAAATGCAATAAACAAAATTGTGGTTATAAAATCAGTGTAGGCCTATTTTTGGGCATGTAGTGTATGCAGGCAATACATTTTAATGTGCTACAGTAGCCTATATGCTAGGTGTAGAATACTCTAGAACTATAAAAATTAATATGTAAGACATTCTCAAATGATCTGGAATATTGTAGGCAATTAAACTTAATTCCTGAATCTTAAGAACATTCTAGATCAAATTTGGAATATTCTTTGTAGAACATTCTAGGCTAACCACTATCATTTTATTTCCATAGTTCAATAGAAAATATTTAAATCCCCTGCCTTATTTTTTGGGGATTTCAAAGTCATTAGGCCTATACCAATGTTAAAATATTGGTTAAGACTCAATTAGGCTGCATACAATTAACATTGCCAATAAGTTATATAAAAGGCTAGGCTATTTAAAATACATGGTTGTGAATTAGGCTTAGGCTACATAGAATTAAAATGAACGTGAAACAATCGTCTAGGCTACTTAAAATGCATAGTTATAGGTGAATAGGCTTAGGCTACGTAGAATTAAAATGATCAATAACTCGTCTAGGCTACTAAAGATACATAGTTATAGGTGATATAGGCTATGTCCCAGTGCCATTTAATTTCGCTATTTTGTAAATCAGCTGTTGCGCGGGAAGTGAGAGAGAGAGAGAGTTGGCTGAGCGCCAATGGTGATCATAATGGCAGCGAGTTACGTGACGTAATGTCAACGTCAGGCAGGAGTGCGTGGAGGGGGCGAAGAACTGATTGCGGTAGGTTAGTTGTGCTGTTGCAGTTTTTGCAGTTACCGTTACTGATTCTCTCCTAGCTGTGTTTACTACGGTATGAGTACAACTATCGGCTACTAATCGAAATGTTAATGTACCTGAATTCAACCAGGCGAAGCTTTGATATCCAACTCCATCGTATTATCGAATAGCTATCGAATCAACCGATAAATAACCTCAACCTGATATTTTATATCGATTGTGACAATCGATAATTACTATACTCTCAGATATCAATGTTAGGTTTTTGCCTCAACTTAACTAAGGACATTGTGGAACTTAATTGTCTCATAACAGATCTAGGCACCCAATTATCTTTATAATACAACCAAATCATGCTCAAGAAGAGAGAATTCACAACCAAAAGGCAGGCTAAGAAATTTTTCAGTCCTTGTTCCCATCTTCACGAAACCTGACTAGGATTTAATTTTAGTAACAGTAACAGAGCAGAGGTATAACTTTCAGTTGATGTGCGATTATATTCAGTCGGGGTTCTAGGAGGACCATGTCGGGGGCATCGATATATAACTACTACGCCTTAGTTTTTCTGTAACCCCCTGAAATGTCACTGTACAGCGCTTTGCAGAGTTAGGTTAGGTTTGAGTAGTAGTTATATATCGATGGTCGGGGGCAGGGGATTATGGGTCTTCTAAATAAAAAAGGAGTTCCTTGAATTTTGGGAGGGGGCTTTGAAGTTTGATATTTTCAAAGCCGTTTTGTGACTTTGTAAAACTATAAAATGTACGGTTGAATTTATTTTCCAAGGTGGACATATAGTCCCTGTATCCACTCATTGGAACCATCACTAATTATGTTTAGCCTCTTAAGCCTTCCATCATGTTTTTAATAAAATTGGAGATGGGTCGTTCTCAAATTCAAGGTAAATTTGGGGATCGGAAAAAACAAAAAATTATTTATCATTTATTTATTAAATCAAAACAAATATATCCCTTAATAAGAAAACAAAGATGGCTGAGCTTAATTCTAACATTTTTTGTTAAAATTATACAATTTTCTTTCAGGATGTCATACATTTTTTCCCCTCGCTCACGTTTCCCCCCCCCCCTTAAAAATAAAGAAAGAAAAAAGAAAAATAGTAAAATTTATAGTTTTAAGTAAAAGTTTATAACTGTAGCTAACAATTACAAATTTTAAAAACGTTATTTAATTAAAAGTAATAGTTGCTGATCCAAAAAAAAACTCAATTTTATACCAAATATACCAAAACAGAAGTTAAATTTTAGAATAAAAGTTACATTTTTATTTAATTCATTAGAAAAACTAATAAACCTGTGCAATGATCATTGGTTCTTGCGTTGAAATTGAAAACAGGTTAAAAAAAATTATTTCTTGATAAACAGAGCTTTTACTGGGTGTGAGCGAGGGGAATAAGTGTGAGCGAGGGGAACCACAGAGTGAGAGAGGGGAACTACAAAGTGACTTTAACCCAGAGGTTAAATTGTTTGCAAAAATTGTATTTATAAATTCTTGTTTTTTTAATGAGACACTATATTTGCTTTGAATTTGAGAACGACCCAGATGCATACGGTTTTGAGACATTCTTTTGTCATCAATTTATTAGAATAAGTATATATCGTGTTTTACCCATCCATCTCCATTATTTATTTTAACTTTATGTTAGGCAACTGCAATGGAATATTATTTTTATGGTGTTAATATTTTCAATACGACAAAACGTCCGACTAGAGAAAACTCAAAAAACTTCATCTTGAAGTTTAAATAATATTCCCCAATTTTATATTATTCCCCACGTAGGATTTCGGACCAATGGTTGTAAATTTGATGCATTCTGAGGTTATTGCAATTGCAATGACCTAAGTGTGCAACAATGAATACAGAACTAAGTATAGGTTATGTTTATGTTTCATGTCACCACAGACGGTTGTCTCTGACATCACTACTCGAGCCAGCTGACCTTGCCAGCTGCGATGCGAACAGCTGACTCAGTCAAGGTCATTCATTGTTGATTGTTGACATCTCTCTGTCTACCTTCCTATTCAATGTTCAAAGTCTTCTTTCATTAATAAATTTTAAATGTCTTAGCCAGAATTAATTCGGGTTTTATTTTTGTTTTTTATAGGATAGCTATAGACATTAATGGCAATGTATGGATTAACTCTATTATTAATTCATTATCATACACGCTCATCGGGCAATATCTTTATTTTGATTGACCATTAGATCACAACATAATATTGATAGCGACGGTAAAATTACAGTATTCTAGTCCTTATACTAATCCATGACTGTCTTGTCTTACCTTATTCTTACTTTTAACCATTGATTAAAGAGTTTTTAACGCAAGTCTAGTGGCCGCAAGAGTTAAGTAGGCCTTCGATTTTAAGTAAAACAGTGTTTATGTGAATTTCAAATGTTTTAGCGAATTTCCCTATAGGGAAGTAGCTATTACCGTAGGTCTCATGGTAAGACTTAGGCCCGGGGCCGATTTACTTTTTCATTTTGATGTGCCCAGAGGCCAAAAACACCATTCGTTCAAATTTTTATATATGTGAACACGATAACTTGAGTAATTTTTATCCGATTTTGATGAAATTTGGTTTGAAGGTGTAAGGCGGGATAAACTTGAATGAGCTCGCGATCCAGCATGATCGGACCATGGGAACAGGGTTTTATGGGGTGTTTTATGGGGTAAAATTGGTTTTTCTCACTTTTGACCCTCAAAACATAAAATTTCCCAATTTTTCTATAAACCTTCTTAAAGAGCTTAAAAAACAAACAATTCAGTATATCAAAGTGTTTTTGTACGGTTATTGGTTACGGAGAAAACTAAAAAAAAATTGTTAATTTAAAATTCCCATGTTATTCTTATGGAGAATATTGTAAAATGTTGTAGTTTGCTTGTTTATGGATATCTTTTGATCAAACTTGGCAAATATATTCATTTTATACTAAGTAATAATAATTTTACTTAAAACACACACTTTATTAGTTCCCTTGTAGCAGCAAACCTAGGTAGGACTCGTTAAACCTAATGTTATTTAAATAGATGATTGAAAATCAATTCAGCCAAATGGAAATTCGCTTAGACGGCAGGTTTGCTGCGGCAGGGGTATTTTATTATTTATCTGTTATGGTTAGTATAGAGTTTTAATACAATACAGAGTGTTAGTTTACTGCAATACAAAATAATTCAATCGTGGGTGACTTCAGCTTTATGTGAAAGACAAATTATTGATATCTTACTTTATAGTTTTTTACCTCCTGAAACCAAATATACCATTATTTTTCACCGCTGATGAATATTTCTCAAGATATCGCCGTAAAAACATACAACATTACAATAAACAATGTATGATGGATAACGTTTACAAGTGGAATAAGAAGAACATCGTTGATTAAACATAATAACATCGTTGTTGAAACATTTCAAGTGATTCTGTAGTCAATAATGTTTTCTATAATAGGAATTTTGTCACGTTATGGAGATATAGATGGACTGGTGGACTAATTGACTAATTACATGGTAGCTCTTATTTAGGCATGTCAGGGTGGTAGGTCGTGTTGTATGTGAATTGGTGACTGCATTAAATGTTTTGAAGTTAGGTTAGATTAGGAAGGTAAAGTTTAGGTTATAATGAATTGAGTTGTTAGTTCATGTCGCCTGCAGACTGTTTCTGTAAAATTAAAATCCAGAAAAAAACACTTCAAATTAAGTTATTTTTTCAAAAATGTTTGTATTACCTACGGCGATATATTGAGAAATATTCATCAGCTGTGAAAAATAATGGTATATTTGGATTCAGGCGGTAAAAAACTATAAAGTAAGATATCAAAATTAAAAATTCGTTTGGAGGCATCTATACGGAATAATTACCAGCTCCTTAAAGATGACGCTGTAGGCCCCTACTCACCGATTATGTACAGCAGTTCAGAAAAAAAACGCCGCCGTGGACAACTTTTCTATGGACAGCCTGATACCGTAAGATAAGTTAGGCTTTTACATCTTAATTACAGATTAAGTTTAGGTTTTATCATAATAACATAATGATCATGATAAACCTAACCTAACTCTGCAAAGCGCTGTACAGTGACATTTCAGGGGGTTACAGAAAAACTAAGGCGTAGGTTGTTTGACAGTGACTGACTGAACATTTGAAATGTAATCGTTGCCAGTGGTCGTGCCTAGTGATGTGACGAGTCGAGTTGACTCGAGTCAAGATCCGAGTCGAGTCAACTCGAGTCATCTCATTCACAACTCGAGTTGGTACGAACTCGTACGGAGATTGCCGAAGCTACACGAACTCGTAACGTAACTAGTCCGACTCGCAAAACTTAAACGCTATTGGCTCACAGCCTCAAAGCGAGTCAAAAAACCGAACTCATACGGAGAAAGCCGAACCTTTAAGAACTCGGGACGTAATGAGTTGACTCGCTTTCGGCCAATAGCGTCATAGCTTTACGAGTCGACTCGCATAGATTCAACGCTATTGGCGGAACGCGAGTTGAGTTGACTCGTATAACTGAAACCCTATTGGCCGAGTGCGAGTCTGGCGGGATCTGTGTCAGTTCAAATTGTATAATAGACCTCGTACGGAGAATGCCGAACTTACACGAACTCGGAACGCCTCGAGTCGAGTCGACTCGACTCGTAAAGCTGGTACGCTATTGGCCGCTACCGAGTCGGCCGACTCGCAAAACTATAACCCTATTGGTCGACTCCGAGTCGTTGCGGACTCCCATGATGCATTGGTTACGGGTCAAGTTTCGAGTTGAGTCTGACTCGACTCGTAACTCGAGTTCACGGCAGTTGGCAAGTCGAGTCACTCGAGGAAAGTACCCGACTCGTCACATCACTAGTCGTGCCCCTGTCTGGTATTACTCCACCAGAGAAGCAGTCCATCTTTAAAATACCTTAAGATGAAAGTCTTCTGTGCCTTAGAAAAATGTTAAGGTTGTTTTCATGTATTATAAGATCGTAGGAATAGGCCTACTTAATTTTTTTTATAAATAAGCTGTCATCACAAAATTTCACAGTCACAGAAATCGGTGCTATCAGCTAACTCAACTTATGATAATATTTTGGCCTTAAAACTCAAGCAGACCTATAACCCTATCAGAACTACAATACTACTTACTATAATATTCAGAAATAATTAGGCTGTTATCCTATTAAAGAATACAATTTAGCCTACAGTTTCAGCATTTCAGGTGCTAAGTGTCTTTATTGTTATTCATGCAATGTTATACGTCCTCAGATTATCCTAATTTTTTCCTTCCGGATCGATATCTGCCATATGAATCTGGTGACAACCTTACCTAACATAGGCCTAACTGCCACAGTGAGAGTAATAGTGACACTAACTTATTACTCTCACCGTGGTAGTTAATAGTGGCTGTTATTTTAATGAAATCCCTGTAAAAAAACCAATAAATTGTATTAGTTAATTTTGGTTGCACTTCCATATAAGGCCTGCGGCACAACAACATGTAAGTACGGTATTTAGTGTAAAGTAATTTTGTTATCTAACGGAACTTTGAAACCTAACTATACCTGATTTAGTATTCAATTATTTTTACTTTTATTACTTCTACCTAGTGTCAGCGCAAGTGTAGCCTTGATTTTAAAATTTTTACAGCTCGTTTTAGTAGAAGCGAATTATTATCTCACACTCACAGTTTTGTCTAGGCAAGTTACTCTAGATTGGTTTAATCTTGTTTGGTTTTTTGAAAATGATTACGAAGCACGAATCGATACATATTTTCGATACATGCAATCGTTTAAATAGAAATTTACAACTGAGTTGACAACAGCTGATTTTTACTCCATAGGGGCTAAATACGATTTTTACTCCCTAAATATTAAATATGCTACTTTAGACCTGCAACGCATGCATTAAAAACTACTGTTTTTACTGCAGTATGACAAAAACAATATAATATGAACCCTGTTATAAAAAAACTAAGGCCTTTTTTGTTTCAGACTCCAATTGAACCCATGGAGATTTAGACGCCAAGACAAAGCAGAGGGAAAATCAAACGGACATCAGCCAAATCCACCACAGCAACACACTCAAATTGATGTTCAGTTTCCCCAATGGAAAAAACTCAAAGAAAAAAGTCAAATGTAATGTAAATGTCACCTAAGACTTGGATAAAAGAAGAATCACTTTGTTTTTGTGAAATGTTTAAATGCACTGTATTTGACTAATTAATTTGTTTTATTTACTAAACCTCAACTTCCTCATCAATAAAATTTCTATTGTGCCTATTGGAGTTTCTAAATTAGTTAAGTTACTCTTGTAAAATATATTTATTTTTTTTTATTTCACAGTCATTGTTTTTTAATATTTCCATCCTTGCAATTCGGAACTTTCAGTTGTTATTCAAAATACTTAACATACAAAATACTTCAGCATTGGAATTGTGCAATGTCAATGTTTCACAATAACTATAATTGCCTAATGAAGGTCTCAACTTATAGCCAAGACAGCCAAATGGTAACAGTGGTAAAAAAATAAAATTTTTGAGGACTAGACTCTAACATGGATTTACATAGCCTAACTTAGAGTGGACTAATGATTTTCCCCGAGCAAAGCTCGGTCCCCAGGTACTTAATATAATATGTGTAAGCCATTTTTAAATTTATTAAATTACCCTTAAAATGGAGATTCTGATCTAGTAAGGAATAATTTCTGGTATTGTGTATTTGAAAGTCTGATTTAAAAAATTCAAGAATTTTGTAAATGGAGCCTATTTGTGAGTGAATCATAATCATAGCCTACAATAATAGGCCTTAAAATGCATTCATGGTTCATGTTTCACCTTAAAAGGCATTCATGGTCATGCCTTATTAAAATTAATAAATTACTTTTATTTGCTTTTACATACACTTCTGCAGTGCTGACAGATTGCTATGATCCAAATTCTTTTAACTAAATTAAAAAAAAAAAAAAACTACATATATCCTATTATCCTATTACTTTTAGGTCATTAATGATTAGTTAGAAACGTTAAAATATGATTTTTAGCCAGGATATATACTCTCTAGTTATAAAACAAAGGAATTCTTGCCATACTAGAAGCTTGATTAAA